CTTGCCTCTTTGTTCACTCGGTTATCTTGCGCAAATAAATTTAAGATTCAAATACTAACGATGTTGGTCAAAACCTTTGTTATTAAATGCCAAAATTTTTTTAAAGACCGCAAGAATGAAAATAAAAATTTCTAACTTGAATTGAAAAGATTTATAATAAATTCATCGTATTTTTAATAATTTGGTGACTTGCTTGCACTTTCATATCTTATTTTCCTATTCAACAAGAAAGAACGGAAGTCCTTATTTTTTTTTAAAAATTCTCATTTTTCTCATCCTTCTCTTCTTTAAATTTATCAGCTTATCTTCATTCAGTGCGTTAATTTTTTACGAAGAAATTATAAAAAACTCATTCTGATTAAGTTAAATTAAAATATTTTGTTCCAAACGTGAAAAAAAATATTACAAAGTGAAACACTGATGAAACATGTGAAAATAATTTTCCGCAATTGCTAGGCACTAATAATGAAAGTATATTTTAGTGCATCAATAAAATATTAATTATGAAATGAAATGAGCCAAATTTTTTTTTTGTGTTTTTTATTAGCAGAACATGGAGGCGCAAAAATTTTGCCCGCATCTGCTTTTACCTGTTATTAAAATTATTGGTGATAATTTGCTAATTGATTAATGCTAATTGATTGGTGATAATTGCTAAACGATTAATGCAAGAAATAAAGTTGATCAGTTTACATTGAAGAGTTGTAGTACTTTTATCTTTTTGACTTTCTTAACCTAAATTCGGACTTGTCTACTCTGATTCAAGCTCTTCCTTCTCTCCTACCCCTCTAAACTCTCTCTCTTTTTTGTTTTCTGAGAGAATATTTTTTTACCTTTAATTGATAGTCTTTTTATTTTTCCTTTTCTTGGCATAACATAGGAAAATGGAAAACTGCACATCCGTAATAAGTGATTTTTTATACAAAATTTATAGTAATTTTTATAAAATAAACAATATCATAGAATAATTACGTCTGTCTTCGACAAGAATAAACCTGTCATGTTAAAAATCCGGGTGGCTGCTGGGTTAATGGTAAGATAATTGCCACCGACAGTGCCTTCGGCTGGAATCCGATCAACGAGTCATGCTTCGTTGGGTGATAGTGTCACCGAACGGCGAAAGAAAATGGAGGTAGAATGGCTCAGTGATTGTTGCTTAGCCTGAAGATATAGAAAATAATTTTTATTATTATTAGGTATCAATGATTGATAATCGATTATTGCTTCATTTTGGCATTTCAAATGATGTTTTTTTTAAATTTTTTTTCTTTTAATTTTCAAATTTTTTTATTTTTCTCCCACCTTGCGCTACATAGATAATATTATAAAAAATATAATATTATACTTGCTTTCGACAAGAATAAACCTGTCATGTCAAAAATCGGAGTGACTGCTGGGGACCCACGTAACTCTAGCACCAAGTGACTCTGTGGTGAAACGGTCAGATATTTTTAATACGGCGTCGGCGTTTCCCGACGCGCATGATACTCCCATCCCGGTAGTACGTGCAATAAGCATGCAAGCTGGGCGTAAAACGATCCCAAGGTTCATAAATAAAATATGCTCGCCAATTGCTCGAAACTTATCAAGGTGAACAGCCCTCTGCATGTGCGGCTAGGTGTTAGCTGTATCATGGAGCGTCAAAATGCTTATGGACGTTGCAAGCGATCACTGTCCACACTCTTTCTAAATATCGTATGGATATCGCCTGCTTGTCGGAGGTCCGTCTTCCTCATTTCGGATCTCGAGTAATTGCTAATCTTGGCAGAGAGGTATTGGCTATATCAGACGCTTTGGATAACTCGGGGTGAAATGGCCTAGCGATTGTCATGTCTGAAAAGGGCTTTTTCGCTTTGATTGAGTGGGAAAACGGTAAGACGGTAACGGTATCGCCATGCTCACTTTAAAAGTTTTTTAAATTCTTTAAGTTCTGCAATATCTCGGTCATCAGTGTCTAAGCTCCAACTTTTCCGGCAGGTAAAGATAAGGTCTATGCGAAACTTCAACTGCTAACAAAGTCTCTACCGAAACGTGAAATGATCATAATCGGTGGAGACTGGAATGCGTGCGTAGGTCATAATGCCGCTGCGATGACTCGACAGTTGGCAAATATGGCATTGGAGACCGGTGCTCCAATGGAGAAAGTCTTTTTCTTTATGCTGAAGAGCATGATCTTTTTGATCATGATCTTTTGTATTATACTTGCTTCCGGCATCTTAGAAAACATCTACGTGGAACTCCCCGGATAACCAACATTTCAACCCGAGTGATTATATCTTAGTCAGTGGTTGTTGGAAGAATTCTGTACTAGATAGTCGTTCCTATCGCAGCGCTGAAACGGGTAATCTTTATGGACCATATTATGGTTCGAGCCAAAATTCGCATAAAATTGACAACTCGCAGAAAACAACATCACCCGAGATCTTTCAAGTATCTCAAATTAAAGAATTCGAGGACAGTAAGCGCATTTTAAACCGAACTATTGAAGCATCTCAATGGTATCAATGATTTCTCTGAACGGCAAATGAATATTGGTCCAAACTCAAGGAATGTCTCCGAAAGCCATTTCAACGCTAGGGTATACTACTAGGAAATACTCTAGTTGGGTATGGGAAGTGGCTGTCCAACTGTCTGAAAAAGCTACCAAAGCAAGAATGTCAGGTGATCCTGATTACTCGTTTCTTCGAAGATTTGTAACAAAAGCAGCACGGCGGGATAGAAATCACTTTGGAGTGACATAGCCTCAAGAATGGAGGCGGCGGCTCGATTAGGTGATAATAGGAAACTATTCTGCCTTCTTCATAAAGCAACTATGACTCGAGGAATCAGTGAAATGGTAAGAGACAGTAATGGCGTACTAATCAAAAGTATTAAAGATCGCCTCATAAAATGGAAAGAATTGTTTGAGGCCAAACTTAACCATGAAGCGACATCTGTTGCCCCTGATACGTTTGCCGAAACATACGCTTGCAATTGCGAGCCTCCCACATAAGAAGAAACAATTTCAGTTATCCACAAGCTTAAGGCCAACAAAACTCCAGGAGAAGATGGTTTTCGGATTCGGATTCGGATTTTCAAATCCATCGTCTATCGTCCTTCATAATGCACCTTCAACAAATGTACTCTCTGATATGAAAAAGAAATATTACCAGATGATTGGAGCAAAGCAATTCTGCTCCCAGTGCTCAAGAAAGGTGAAAGGTGAAAGGTGACATAGTGCAACAATTATTTAGGAATCAACCTACTAGACCTCTGTTAAGGGTATTAAAGATAGCCTCATAAGATGGAAAGAATTCTTGAAATGAATTAAAAGAATTCATGGACACCGCTCGTCGGTACTCAAGGGGTCTCAGCGAAAATTTTCGCTTCCCTTTTACTCAACAGACTTATGGAGATACGAGACAGCAGGATGGGCCCTAATCAAGCTGGATTCAGGCCGGGGCGCGGTTGTGCTGACCAGATCTTCACGTTAAGAAGGATATTGGAACATCGCTTTAGATATTTGCAACATACTGTCACGCGTTTCATCGACTTTGTGGCTGCCTTTGATTCAATTGATAAAGCGGTGCTTTGGAGGGTGATGGAACGCAACGGATACTCTTTAATACCCTTAGCAGAGGTCTGGTAGGTTTCTGGATAATTGTCGCACTATGTCTTATCATCTTTCTTGAGTATTGTTCCCCAGAAGATCATCCGACTCAAAAAGGAATTTTATCAGCTTACGTCAGCGTAGGTCTATGTGTATGGGGAACTGACAAAGTCCTTCGAAATAAGAACTGGTAGGTGTCTGTCAAGGTTGTGTCCTTTCCCCTACAATTTTCAACTATGCGATAGACTGAGTAATGGACACCGCTTATCGGCATTCAAAAAATGCACAAATCAGTCCGGAACATCGTATTATAGATCTTGAATAGGCTGATAATGCAGTCAGAAACTGCAGTAAGAATAGGACTCAGGGTTAATGTACACAAAACGAAAATCTTTTCGTCTTATATGCAAGAAGCTGATAAAATGCCTCTTTTTGTAAATTTATTGCCGGTCGAGGAAGTGCCCGATTTTAAATACCTTGGGTCCACTCTAATACCAAATGACCAGGCAAAAGATGATATTGCAACTCGGATCACGGCAGCTAGAAATGCGTTCTTCCGGTTGACGAAACCTTTATGGAGCCGTCGTGAAATTACCATAAAACAAAAGTCCGCATCTATATTGCCGTGATCCGTTCGATCTTACTGTATGGTTCTGAGATATGGCCAATGAGAGTGCAGGATATTAAGAAGTTATCTGCCTTTGACCACTCTTGTCTAAGGTATATTTTACGTGTCTGTCGAGCGGATAAAATATCACATGATCGCATCCACCTTCGTTCAAACACCACTTACATAAATAATGTTATCACAGAGAGCCGCCTTCGGTGGTTAGGGCACATTTTCCGTCGTGCACTACAGAAGTTGACGCATATTTCGTTACTTGCTAATGGATAGCGTCAAAAGCGTGGTAGGCCAATCAAGACTTGGGTTAATACGATCAGAAAAGATTTTGAACGTATTGGTGGACCCGCAATATATGGACTTAGACGATGGAAAAAAGAATGGCTTCCATTACTGTCGACGATGATCAGACCGCGCCGCTTGGAAGCGTCTTTCACTTGTAGCCACTGAAGCCAGCGTAACCAATAATGGTGAAAGCTATTAGAAGAACAAGAAGATATATAATTTTCGATCCGAGAACACCCTTTAGTAAACCCTTGTTCTCATAAGTGAGGGTTTAATTATTGTACTTTAAGTTCCACTTTGACATTAACATCGATGAATTGAGGACCATTTACATATTGTGAAAATGTCAAAACTAAAAGAAATAATTAAATAAATAAATAAAGAAATAAATACTGTTGGGTATCCTTGAATTCGGGTACTTTACGGCTTATGAGTAAATTGATAAATTGACTTGTTTTGATGCATTTTCAGATGGTATGAGAAAATGTTTTGCTATGAACCTTTAAACCATCTCATGTGAGATCATAGGGGAAATTTGTCTGCTACCTCAAGTGGATGCAGGAGAGATATTGGCTTATGCTCACATTTGTCAACTGAATCACGGCGGTGAATCCCTTTAAATTCAGGTCTTACAAGCACATCCTCCATCCATACCTGAAAGTAATGAAGCCACTCTTTTTTGCATCATATTAGTCTGTATCCACTGCGCTTTCCATGCGTTAAAAATCTTTCCTGACCGGTCTTCACTGGTCATTCTTGCTATTGATTACGTTATCCATTACAAGGCTTAGCAATAGCAAGATGGCAATTCTTGTGAAAGTATTATGCACGTCGGAAGACGCGGACATCCTTTGAAGATAATCTTACTCCTTCAGCATAGAGTCACTTGGCAATAAAAGAACAGATGTATGCTCAACACCGGGATTTTAAAGTTTAACAAATTTCTATAAAGTTGAAATTTTCTAAGACAGAATATAACATTAAGACTACTGCCATCCATTCAAAATTCCTTTGCAAACATTATATTCCGCCTTTTCCAAATCTTGAAGTTGATTCCTTAATTATTTTTGAAATCACAAAATCTATTTTGCTGTTGGACTGCCAAAGGTTTAAGAATATTATCTAGTGATCACAGCCAGTAAGAAGCTTTTTCTACATTCGCGATCATAAAATTTAAAATTTCTCCATATAAATGACAATAATATGCCAATTAGTCGTGCGATAACGGTTGCGCCTTTGTAAAATTTATCATGGAAAAAGTATGCTTTCTTACATGGTGCATCCAAAGCGATATTTTATACTTTATTAGTTTGAGTCCTGGTAACACTATGTATCGTCAAAGGTGATTGTTTGAGCGTTTTAACCCTTAATTACTCTTTTGTAAATTTGTTGTGAAAGTTAAGAAGTTGTTAACTTTATAACCTATCGACCTTATACTGAGTGTTGGATGCGAAACTATCGTTCATTTGCGATGACATGATTTGAATCCTCAAATATATTGGTACCATCAATTTGTACACCTTTTCTTAATCCTCCCAGAACCAATTGCGGCAACTTAGTATCACCTTTTCTTTCTACGAATAAAGCCACTGGTTAACGCACCACTGCTGGTTGGACTCGCTCCATTGGCTTCTCGAAACTAACAAGGAATTGCTTGGCGATTATTTAGACCGCTAGATTTTTGAAGGATAGGTTTATTTCTGCCGTACGTAGAACCACAGTATCAACGCTCCAAACTTCTTCTTCTAACAGCTCTCACCAGTACTAGTTAGGATGGCTCCACTGGCAACAAGGGTAAGACGTTTCCGAGCTGCGCAATCTAATACCATCATCTGATACTGAAAGGAGTGGCAGTAATACAAGCCACTCCTTTTTCCATCGTCTAAGTCCATATGCTAGTCCACCTTACGTTCAAAATCTTTGCTGACTGTATACTTCAGTCCAGCTTAATGCCACTTATCTCCATCTGATTTCCTTAATACACCATCAAAATTACATATACTTTTGGCACTGCAGCAGTTATAATAAGATCATATTACGTTATGTTACCGAAATATTTAATTATATGCATAAAACTTGATGAACCTTGAATAAATCATCAAATCATCAATAAAATAAATTAGAAAAATAAATTTCTATTAGTATAACTTTGATTTTAACATTTAAAGCTAATGATTCCTTTGAAGATTACCGTGCATGTAGTGGAAATTTGGCACTGCCAACGTTAAATATATTTTCTTTGCAGATAAATTTTCCTTAATCTAATAAAAACTATCTTTCTCCTTAATAATTTTTTATCAGAATTTCGTTATGGATTATAATTAATGTTATGTTATTTATTTATGTTAACTCCAAGTCACGCTTATTGCCACAAGTATTGCTAAATCTTTTTTGACCTTTTGTTGACAACACATTAATATTCTCCTTAAAAAAGATTAAATTGCTACAATTAAGCTCATCTTGTCGAAAGCCTTTGCCAAAAGCTATCGTGTTTTATGAAAAAGCCTCACAAACTTCTGTGAAATATCCCTTTGATATCGAGATTCCATACAATCCGTGCTATTTGGCTATAACCTGCTAGCAACACTTCAAATCCCTTCTTATGCTTTTATCTGCCTAGATCTACTCGTAACTCCCGCTCATCAAAATTTTGCTCTCTAAATGCAAAAGTTTGCAATGCATTTTTGTCACGACCGCAGTTGCAAATTATAAAATTACAAAAGGTAGAATGATTAATGCAGCAATATGACGGAAATTTGAGGATGTTTTGTTTATCTCTTGTCTTGTTTTTTATTCGAGGCCACTTTTTATTCTGAGCAATTTCGACATCTGTGCGATACGATATCTTAGTCAAACAGGGTCGAGAGCTTTTTCTGGTTCGAGAGAATGAAATTAATCACCCAGACCACATCAAAGTTTTTAAATCTTGGGTTTGGAAAAATAATCGTTTTTTCTTAAAACTTCACTTAATTTATTCAATTTGAGTATAGAAATTAATTAATTATAATAACAACATATTTTTATAATTATGTAAATAAGAGAATGATATAAGAGAATATATGACAATTTTTAATAATAAATTTTTATTAAATAAGTTTTACTTTTCGATTATAAGAGGTGACTGTTTTGACTATGTGCCCATAAAACAAATCTTTCAAGAAGCAATTTGCGTGAGCTCCTTCACTGATGGCTGCTTTTCAAGGAGGAGCTAAGAAAGCAGCCCTATATCTAATCTTTTCTTGCCAAAAACTATTCAATCTTTTCTTGAAAATTGATCAATTTGTGTGGTTTCTTTATTAATATTTTTGAAATTTCATTTCATTTTAAGCTGCTTTTGATTCAAGACTTGGTTAAATTTTGCAAAAACAAGCTTAAAATCAAAACACTGCGCATTGTTACTTTGAAACTAACGAGACTTTAAAAAAAGTTAAAAATAAAAACTTCTATATGTTTACTATAAAAATTTTTGTTCAATTGTTTTCACGGCGAGATGAATCTTATGACTTGTATATCATAATTGTAACAACGTGAATTAAGGTCAAATTAGTCAATGCGTGAATGACCTCAAGTTTATAAGTTGCATCAACTTTCGATCGTTATAAAATTTCCTAGAAATGGAGATTGTAAATTTCATGAATCAGAAGTAAAAAATTTTCGAAAATCATTGTTTTTTCCTCATTGCAAAAATAAAATCTCCATATTCAAAATTACAGCATTTTTTCCAACATTTTCATTAAAAAGTGACAACTGTTTCGCTATTTTTTGGTATATTTTCACTCGATTTTGCTTATCCGTTTATGAATTATATTCCATATAGCTTAAAGCTGCTCGTAAAAAAAAATAAATGAACAGTTTTCAGAAAATTCAAAGCATTCAAAAAGACAAAATAACTGATAATTAAGTGAAATTAACTGTATATAGGTGCAGTTCAGTTCTCATTATAGTATCATTATGGTTTTTATCAGTAATATTTCTTCTATATTCTAAATTTATGGTCCTTCTCATTTTCTTTTAAATCTTAAAATGGATTTTACTCTGTTTGAAATCTCTAAAGAATGAAGAAAAATCACACGAAAAAATAGAACTTTCTCGATTTGCTATTCATTGATATTCATTTCCAATCACATTGCTTATTGTTTATTAAATATCAATATGTTTTAAATCATTTATAGTTTGCAAGTCATAATAACAGGAATAACAAAATAAAGGTTATTAATGATATGTAATAGCTGTTTTTCTTTATCATTATACTGGTGATAAATATATGATGGCAGAAAATAATTGTTAAACATTCTTTTTCTAGTCATTAGCCATTAGTTGTGGCTACAGCGCCCTATTTTTGGATCGTATTTGATTTCGAAAATTATTTTCATTTATCTTTGATAAATGTCAAAATTTGTCCTAAAAATATTTTTTAAAAAAACTGGCAAAAATGGTGCATATTTACAATGATATGCAATTAATGAAACTCTAATTTCTGGTTCCACTAATACAACGGAAAGTCACAAGTTTTTCTTGATTATCGCCTTTCTATAAATTAACTAAATTTCAAAGTCACATCGGTCAAGTCGTTCAATGAACACTTCTACTGTATTTCTGCTCATATTGCTTTCATTACGACAATTAGAAGGAACGGTTTGCTTTCTTTTTTTTTCCTTTTTGTTTACAAACAATTTAATTGAAAAAAAATGAACAATTATATCAACTCTTACTTGCATTTGAAATTCTTTTTTGCCAAAAAAGAATTTTGTCTGAAAACAAGCTTATAGAAGTTTGATAATTTTAACTTGCTGATGGTATCTATTATGAAATTCTGGGAGAAATCAAAGCTTGTTTTGGTTATTTTAACTTATTAGCCGTTTGATAAAGTTTTATCACTATAATTTCGTTTGAAGAATTGCATACAATCGAGAAAAGTCATCAAATTCTTTCGAGAATTTCGTTTTATATGAGAACGCATTTTTGATGGTCATTCATGCTATATGAAACTTGCTTATTTAAATTTTTTAACTTTTGTCTTCTATTATTTATGTTTTTTAAGAAAAAAAACAAAATGAAGTCGACTTACATGTCTCTAATTAAATAAATATTTAAATAAATTTTTTTCTCATTTTTTGCTTATTATTTGAAGGTTAAGATCTATTTATAATTCCTTTTCCGTTTATTTTTTCTTCAAGATATTTGTGAAATGCGTGAAATCTCGCTTTATAAAAACTATATATTCATTTATTTATGAAGGTTTTTATATAAGGTTTAAGTTATTGAAATAAATGCACTCAGCCTATTGCCGAAATTCTCGACTGGATATGGATATTTTTCAACTGATTATGCCGGCTACATCGAATTTAAAATATCATGCAACTAATGCATACAATTATCATGCACACAACGCACACAGCAGTTTAATCAGAGGCGATTTCATTTCTTGTCTATGAGGAGATATTTAAAACATGGAACGCTGCCTTTAAGGGAACGTGATTATTAATAAATTTTCAAGAAAATATAGCGTTTTATTGATGATAACATCAACGCTTTTCCAAGGATATTGCATGATACCAAAATTGAAAGCAATTTACTAGATTACTTTTTTTAGTTGTTTCAATGCTCTTATTTTTTGTGTGCTTCTTAGAATATGCTGACATATTTCTCTAATATCGTCCAATCATCTTTTAATGATTGTTTACTTATACTGATATTAATTTATAATTGTTACTTTTTAACATGTTTGTGATTGAGTACGTATTGCGACATAAAGACTGATATTATCATAAAATTGGACACTTTCAATCATTTTTTTGCACTCATTATTACAGTTCAAAATTTTATTTTTTAAGGAAGGTTTTACATCATAATTGTGGATGAAACTTGAATTTGGATTCGCCTTTATTTTGTCATGTTTGTAGAAAATAATCACGAGGAAAAAAAAATTGAGCAAAAAATTGATTATTGGGAAAATTAAACGAAAAAATAAAAGTGAACTATTGCCTGTAAAGCTGGAAAGAAATAAGACAATTTATAGTTACTATAAGTAAAAAAAAAGCGATTAATTCAGCATTTTTGGTTAGCCTACCTCCACTGGCAGATAGTACGATGAGAGAAATTTTTGTCAGGGCTTCTTTTAACGATGGAACTATAAACAGGTCACCAACATCACTGGTATTTCTTGATGGCAAACAGGTTTACTCCTACCAAGAGTAGAGTTCGATGCTTGAGATGATAATCTGAGTAATATCCATTCAGCCATTCTGCCTCCATTAAATAAAGTGGTTACAATTCACAAAATGAAGCAATGGAAATAAATTTAAGATAATCAAAATGAATAATATCAGATTCTGATCTAATTTTTTCTTAAAACTAGATACAAAAGTAGCAAGGATCAAATCGCTCATTATTCCAGTAATCATCTATTCCTAAAATTTTCATAGTACGAATTAAAAAGCCAGATCAATAACAAAGAAATCGAGTATCTTGAAAGGCTATTTTGATTAAATGATCGTTGGCAAATATCTATTTAAAGGTCATCATTTTATAGCTAATCTATTTTTCATTCGAATTCAATCTGAATTTATTGTTAACCGCAGTGTGGCACTTTTAGAAAATGGCTCAAAACCAACTGAAAAATCTGGAATGCTTAAAAGATAGCGTCTACACAAGGGATGAAGTCGAAAGACATGCCAAACACGATGATCTTTGGGTGATCTATAACAGAAAGGTTTGCGATTATGCTATGATTAAAATAGTGATTAAATTCTAAATGAAATAAAATAACAGAGAACGCAGTTTAGTTTTTGAAAGCTAAAAGCCTTCATCAAATTTTCATAAGTCTTCGCAGTATATTACTGTTTAAATTAAAATTAAGAAAAATAGGTTCGATTCCTGTCTTCTGGTTAGAATAAATTTTTCATCAAAAATGAAATCCTGTTGCATGTTCTTTAATGCTTTTCATTTTAAACTTTTCTTTCGAATATTTTTTTTCAAAATTTGTGACTATGCCATCTAAATTTATTTATTTATCAGGTCTATAATATGACGCCATTCTATCCGTTTCACCCTGGTGGCGATGCTATGTTGAAAAAGGCAGGAAAGGTTGCTATCGTTGTTTTATTTTCTCACTCGGTTAACAGATGAAGAGAATGTTGATTGTTGATAGATCATTGTAAACAAATTTTATCAGATTTTCTCCAATTTTTTTCACAATTTTTCCTTCATTTTCTCGAAATTTTCTTCATATTCTTATCTGCTCAATTTCTCTGAATGTTCACCTTATTCCAACCTTTGATTACTCCGGTCGAGCCAACTTTTTAATTAAATGAGAAAGGCTGCTCGTAGAAAAAAGATAAATATGAATAAATAAAGATAAAGATAAAACATGGCTCGCTTTGTTATTTCTGATGGTATTACGAAATATAAGCTTGTAAATTCTTCAGAAAAAATTTCAATAATTTGACCAGCAATCAGTGAAATCAAAAGTCAAATTTAATTAATTTACAATTTAATTTACAATCATTAATATGGTAAATTATTTAGGATGTCACTGTGGTATTACATACGATTCCTGCCCATGCAACTGCGTTTGCAACGATCGAGAAACGGTTAGGAGAGAACTGCATTGGAACAATCAAGTATTAAGGAATTCATTTGAATAACATATCGTGTTTCACCACTTACCACTATAAACTCTAAAAATTAGCAAATCTATGCCTATATCTTGATTTTTTATCAATGGCACATAATATATACTTAGTCATGTATTTTTTTGGTTATCAATCTATTTCTGATTCACTCTCTGACAAAGGAATATTCTCCTAATAACTGGTGGGACCATCAAAATCAGAGATATCAGAAACATGCAATATATGATGACTTCAAAATATTTATTATTACTGATTTTATCTCTATCTTTATTCGTATAAATGGTTAGTACATTTCTGGCTCGCTTAGCTGGTTGTTAGTACGGTCAGAAATTTCTGTTCAGAATGTCACTTAGCAAGAAGTACAAGTAAGTTGTCAGCATTTTGATCGCGAGCTGCTAAAGAATAACAATTGAAGGTTCTAAATTTCATAAAGTATTCTTTTTTCGATTTATATATTTCCACATATATGCCAGCTTATTTCTACAATTTTTATTGCCTTAAAATCATTACGATTTCTAAAAATATTCAGCATTTTGTTAAATAGATTTTTATGGTTAAAAAGCACGCAAATTCATCTGTTTAAATTAAATTGATTCAAAAATTCAAACGGAATTTTGAGAATAATTCTAACAAAGTGTAATAATGCATATAATAGCTATGATGATTTTTTAAAATCTTGATAAACTGCTCTGCAGAAAGTTTAATGATGAAAGTTTAATTACCAAATTGGAAGTGATCGACTACCTGTCATTGATTTCTCTCCGGCGAACTACAACGGACTACAACACCATCAATAATGTTGAAATATCGAATGTTATAAATAAAACCCTTTACGACATATTTATGTCGTCCACAAAAGATTTTTAAACGAAAGAAATAAAATTTTGACAAAATTATATTTTTGATCAAAATGTAAAATATTGAATATTGAACGATATATGACAATAAATAATTTTTTGAACGAAAGGATTTTAATAAACTTTTCAAAGAAATTGACATGCAATATGTACATTTTTTTGGATGAAAAACTTACAGAAAAAAGATCGTAAAGCAAAGCACGATTATTGATTCAATTCAATAACTGTAATAACTGTAATAAATTTAGGTAAATACCGAGAAATAAATAATAAGTAAATATTTATGTACATATACCCTGCAAATGAGCGGCGTCTTTAAAAGTTGTGGCAATTAAGAGAAAACTAAAAAGTTCTTCTTGCTCCAACCATTATCAGTTTTTTTCTTAATAAATTCTGTGAGATTCTAAAAGGGAAAAAATCGATGCAAATAAATAGAATATAAATGTTTATTATTTTATCATTTCATTTGGATGGCTTACTAAAACATCGACCGAGAAACTGATTCATTAGAGCAATTTAAAGCAAAAACAGTTCACAGAACTATTTTAGCAAAATCAGAAAGTGTTAAATATATGTTGCGGCGAATCTGATTTTAATACAAAATACCGTTAATGATAAGATGATAAAAATATAAATAATAAAAACAAAATATAGCCTCATTTTTCATTAGTGACAAGAAAAATAAAAGAAACTTTTAGCCATTGGTCCCAGCCTTAGCAAGATATCATAAAAATTTGCGGCCAACTTTGATGGCTATATTGATTATCCTTCCCCATTACTATCACACCCATCGAAAGTTTAAGTTTTAAAGTAATGGGCACAAATTTTAAGAAAAGAGAACGAAGAGAACGAAAAGCGAAGAAATAACAACGTTTTTTAATCAAAAATCAATTAATATATTGAGATTCATATTCACTAAATTTGACGGCACAATTTGAAAATTTAAGAAATTCAATTCCGTTTACTACAGTAGGCATTGGTTTTAAATCAACAAAAATATTCAACATCGAGGCGATTATTGTCGTATTTCAAGGACGAATAAAGAAATAATAGTTATTAAAAGATTACTGCTGAAGATTAATAGGACAAAGGAAACTGATTCGCGCCATTCGTTTCTTATCTATTTAATTTATCGTATATACTGTTTCTCATTTTAATTAATACTTTCTTAGATAATAATAATGTGTTTTTCTAAACAAAAAATTGTGATACGAAATACGACAAATGAAAAAAAAAGGATGACTTAACTGATAATGAGCAGAAAAAAGTGAGAAAACAAGGAAAAAAGCACACCTCTAGCTTTTGATTATCCAAGGATTAAAAGAAATGCACGTAACAAATTTCAGGAACGGTTGCCTAAATCGTATTCAATAACCATATGAGAATGATATAAGACACTTAATTGCTTCATATTTGACTTAAAGATAAAACACTGCGCTTATATTCATCATTAAGATGGTAAAATGAATTCCTTGCAGCTTCAGGGCACATCAAATCCAAAGAAATCCTGAACGAATTCCTTATATATCAATTGAACCGTTTCGTTAAAGCAATCTGAAAACAAGAAAGCATTCGAACTTCCACTTAGAATGAAGTATAAGAATAAAAGAAAAAAGATTTATTAAACTGAATGATATGAAACAACCGAAAAAAAACACCTCGAGTTATGAAAAATAAAGAAACTTAGAAAAAAACAATATGTATACTATTTGTCAAAGCAAGGATGTGAGATGAAAATACGAGTATATAAAGCAATTTTTCCTTTAGTAATTCGTTCACTGTACTGGCTATTCAGTAATTGGAGTGGGACAACTGAGAAATTAGTCATTGGGTCATTATGAGATAGAAGTGCTAGGATTCTTTAACGACAAAATCCTGTTAGAAACATGGGCAGAACCGTATTGCTTGAGATGGTAATCTGAGCCCCACTCTCTCAAATGGAGGTCTCCAAATGTTTCTTGAAACATAGTGTCCGGTGCTTTAGCTGTCAATATCTACCAACAAAACTTCATGACGAAATGAAAAATAAACAGCACTCACTCGAAATAAATGATTCCAACCAAAAAATATAATATGAAAATGTAATAAATTATGCGAAAATATATAAAAATTTGAAGTGCTATTCATTAGCTTTATTTTAAAAAAAGGATTAATTTTTATAATGATTCTTTATTGAAGAGGTAAAGGAAACAAACATTTCAAAAAAATTTTTAATATCTGAAATCTCATTTAAATGCATGCAATAGACCTGTTGGATCCTCAATAAATCTTAAGACTATAAAGAGACTTAAGACTAAAGAGAATTCAAAAAGGCTGTATACACTCGAACATATTCTTAACCATATGAAGCCGGTTACTGTTAAAGTTATTTGTATTGTAATATTAAATTTATTTTCAAGCGACAAATGAAAAAATTATTATTCATAGAAAGAATAAAACCTATTTCGCCACAGACATAAGAGGTTTCAAAATTCTCTAGCATACCAATACAGTTGTAATGGACAAAATCAGAGTCCCTTAATTATAAAAATTTCTATGCACGATTCCATCACTCAAATATGCAAAAAAATGTAGAGGACTTCTAACTTATAATAATTAGATAATGCTTTTGCATCCAATTTTTAACCCTATCTTTTCACTATCTTGAGCCATTTGTTAAAGAGAGTTAAAGATATTGAGGCAAAAGATAGATTAAACGCTTTAAAAAAACGTTTGCTGGGGGAATGCTGTTATTAGCAAAAAAGAAATGGAACAAATCTAATTCCATTTCATTTCTTGCTGGACATCGAAAAAGAATACAAAAAAAATTCAAATAAGAGCTGTTTGATTTCTTAAGAAATATTGAAATTTTTTATAAATTTTAGAAAAATCGTAAAATTTGCCGGTTTCTTCGAAATCATCGAAATTGGTGGGCAGAGTTATTCGATAAAAGAACAAAATCTTTTTGTTCATGAATCATGTATGTTTATTATTTTATGATTTCATAGGTAAAAAAATCGCATTAAGCAAAAATTAAAAATACCAAAGGCCAAGTCGAAGGAGACGTCATCGAAATCCACATAGAACGGACGACCACCAATTAGAATAAACTGCAATATTAGCACAAAAATCCCTTATCAATAATTAATAAAATGGGTGCTATTATCATGCAAAAATGTTGAAAATAAAAAAGTTTGCTATAATAGAGATAGAAAGTTAGATAAAAATGGATTTTTCTCCTAATAGCATTCACTACTTCCTGTTTGACTGCCTTCAATTATTACTGTAGACGGTTTCATTGGAAAATGGACCAAGGTGAGTTTCCAGAGCGACCCAGAGATGAAAAGGGTTTGAGGCTATTAACCAATAAACACTTTCGTACTTGGAGAACATTTAACTTTTATTAAAATATTATTAAAAAGAATAAGATATCCACTGATTTACTTGCTGTCGCCTTAGATCATTGAGAATGTATGGATAGATCCTTTCAACAAAATCCATGATTTCCTCCAATATCTTTAAACGGTCCCACCATTTGAATTAAACCAGAACAATAAAATCAAGTGGTTGGCCTCTCTCCATTAAAATCGCAATTTCTTCGATGTTTTGTCCCATATTCGACGGAATACAATAAGCATATAACTGATTAAATAAATTAAACTATGAATGTAAATATTTCAGATTTTTTAAACGAATTTCATTTTTAAACTTCTGGATAAATTTGCATAGAATGAGAGGTAAAAAATTTTTCATATTTCATTTCAGATCAATAATGATGAATATTAATTCCTTTATTGATACACAATAATTCTCTTATTGATGAACTATCGCGATAACTTTAGAATTTTTAACCTTTACTTTGATAATGATTTTTTTAGTTACCGCAGTTATCCATAATTATTTTTTCAGGATTCAGTGATAGGGGACTTTATATTTTACAAATAGTACGATTATTGTAATTTGATCTTTCCATTAAAAAAAATCTTATTCCTTATATACTTTTAAATAAGATTGTTCGGCGTAATCATTGGCATAACAAGGGCAATTAATAATACCTTAGGAACATTGGAATTACCTTGGAAGTAAATCAATTTATCGATCTCTTTTATAAATCGTGTGATAGCAGAACTTAACAATTCTCCGCCTGTAGTCTAATGCA